TGGTGTGCCTGATGCCGCCCCGCATCTTCGCGCACGACGGCGGCGGGGACTTCGGCGGGCTCGCCCTCCCTGCCCGCCCGGGCGCGACGCACGGGCGCACCCCGAAAGGCCCCGCCCGGGATTCCCACCGGCGCAGTATGCTCGAGCAGTCCGCCACCTCGACGGTGTTAAACGACTGCCCGAAGGCGGCCCCGCCCGCCGCGCATCTCCTGCAGCTCCCCCTCACGCTCGTCGGCACCAGCTCGACGCGGGCCTTTGCGATTCAGAACATCGGCGAGATCCCGGCCGACCTGCGGCTTTCCCTCCTCGGCGAGGACGACCGCGAGGACGCGCTGCGGCTGGCGAGGCTCGACGAGGACGTCACCATCCCCGTCGGCGCCAAGGAGAGCTTCGACGTCCGCTTCGAGCCGACCCGGCCCGGGAAGTTTTTCATGCGGCTCTGCGCCTCCCTCACGGACAACCCGTTCGAAAATAAGGAAATTTTGGTCGAGGCCCGGAGCTACACCCAACTCATCTCCTTCGAGGGCATCGACCCCGCGAGCACGGACCTCATCGACCTCGGGGACTGCTACCTCGACCACCCCAAGACGCACCGCTTTGTTATGAAGAACAACACCAAAGACGACATTCGCTTCGTCTGGCAGATCCCGCCCGCGTCGGGGGAGGAGGAGGGCGGCGCCCCGCCCGACCCGATGGCGGCCGTCGTCCAAATCGAGCCCGTCGTCGGCCACATCTTCGCCGGCAGCGTCAAGGCCCTCGCGCTGACCTTCACCAGCCACGAGACGGCGGCGACTCGGAAGTTCCTGACCTGCCGCCTGCTCGCCCAGTCCATCGCGCTCAAGCGGAACTACTAGGGGCTGGGAGAAGTCCAGCGCCGCCCCGGGCCTCCACGACGGCCCTTTCGACGACGTCTTGGAGTGGGATAGCACCTCCATGACCTCCAAGTGGGTCTCCGACCTCGTGGAGGACGGCCCCGCCGGGCATTTGATCCCCGGGCCCTTTCAGGTCCCCGGCGCCCCCGCCATGGAGTCCGGCCGGCGCCACCTCAAGCGCGTCATGCAGCCCGTCCCGGAGCCGCCCTACCAACTCACCGCCAACGTCACCATCTCGCAGGAGCTGCAGCTGGTTTACCACTGCGAGGTCCCCAGCTATGAGCTTCAGCTCCAGCAGGAGGCCAAGCCCGGCGATAGCGCCGTCCTCTTCCGCCCGATCACAAAGATGGCGATCCACTTCGACCCGACGATGTTGTATCAGCGGCGAATCAGCGCCGTGCGGGTGCGGAATACCGGGACCATCGCCCTACCGTTTTCCTTTCACATCGAGCGCCCGGCAGACGCCGAGGAGCCGCGGACGCCGCACCTGCTGGAGGATTTCAAGGCCGCCGAGGCCGCG